ACGGTGGGCACCGGTGTCGGCAACCCTTCTACCTTGCTCGCCATCGTGGTTGAGCTAGGATCGGGAACGGGTCAACTGGCCCGGGTATTACTAGCACAGGCAAAGTGGGGCCGGGTATTGCCAATACTTGGACAGCCGGGCGCTAAGCAAGATCCAGAGGAAGTCCGCCATCAGTCCTGGCGAAGTCCATCGTAAATAACTCGAAATTGTAGCAAAAACCCGTACAAGCACATGATGTCGGAGTTTGCACTTACGGCGCTCGCAGGTGGCTTAACTGTATGCCTTATGGCCCGGGTTCCCCTTTTGTGTACGTTTGTTCTCGTCCTAAATCCCATTCGTTTTGGCTCGGATTTGCGTGTTGCTCAACAGTGCTAGAAGTGCAATTCAGAAGTTATAAAACAAATTGGACAGTAACTGTAAGCAGCCAGCAACCCCAACTGGGCTGGTTAGCTCCCACACTCTCACCTCGAAGCTGTCGTTTTACCAGTTGTAGCCCGCTTAGCATGCGTTCCACTCCTAAACCTTCGTGGGCTTCACCTGCCGCGTCACTATCGAGCAGCATGGTTGACAAGCTTAATGACAGCCAAGTTCCAGATATGTATCCCAGCACTACATGCGGTATGTGACTTTCCATTATGTCCCCCAAGGTTGTTTAACTTCAAAGAGCAGGAGCGGCGCGGAAACCGTGGAGACCCGACGCGTGCGGTCGCTCCAATATTTCAATGGAGCATCTCTTGAACAACTAGGGCGAACGATAAACCCGTTTCAGGTTCACCCGCAAGACCGACCCCGAGAATCACAACCTGCAGTATCGGAACGAATAAGACATGTCATCGGATACGCACAAACTTCAGCAGAAGGTCAATGCCTGCGATAGGCAATTACGAGTTTGTACAATTACTAGAAATACATCATAATATCTCCCCCTGCTCGGGTTTGCGTTCTTTTGGCGCTGTGGTCCCCTTGTGGGAGACGGGCTGCTTAGCGCGGTACATAATCGACGAGATTCACCCAGAGCGTCACCTCCCAACTATACAACTCTCACCTAGTACATCCGAGGTACTTGTGAGCGTAACAAGGAGGCGTTCGTTGGTGTATGCACCGACCTTGCAACTTTATCCTCTCAGCACTAACAGATTTCGTGCTGGAATGTTGGCCACCTACCCTTGGCAGGGGACGATTGGGCAGCACCGACCTCTCACTCATATTTAGGTATTATCGTAATCTGGCAGCGTGACGGCAAGCTGTTCCAATGTTTGCGCGGTAACATCTAATTAATTTCACTAAACCAAAACAAGATTGGTTGGCATACATTGTTAGCTTAAAGCACCGGCAGAAAGATACATTACTAACTCAACAGGCTGCAGACTGTTTGAATAATTATAATTTCGGTCATAAGTTCAGTTGTGATTATCGACGCATATAATCACTAAACCTGTTTGTAGCTGCTGGCTGTTTCAGGTGACTGAAAAACTTGTTCCAAAGGTACATTTACGTTGCCAAGTTATAGCATAAGGCTTAAACACAGGTCACTGGATTGGCGAATCTTTCACATAATTTGGCAGTTGCGGGGCATGGATTCGGGAATTTGTGGCCGGTGTGCTAGGCCTTGACCGCCCAGAATGACGTGCCCCGATTCGCCACATGATCACAGGTTAGAGCTCATATATGGGGAGTCACATTCATTTCCGACTGGCAGTGAAAAGGCTAGCAGCGGATCGCAACTTGTCTTTGAAGGATTACATGCTCGGGAGGAATCGGCAGAAAAGCTTCTTTCTGAGCTACAGGTACGTCTAATTGACCATGTAGCTTCTTCTAGTGTGGTTTGTGGTGTGGATTTGGACCTTTGGGTGTCTTACTAGGGTGTTTTCAGAGACCCAAGCCCTGTCCATTCATCAAGTTGTCCCGGTGCCGCTCATGCTCCAGGATCAATCACCTGTAGTTCACCTTTACCTCTGCTGCTTCGGGCGGCCACCTCAGCATCACTTGCCATTTTTGGTAAGGTATATGTCTCTGTTTGAGGCGCCTGGCGCTTGGTGGGTGGTCCCGGATTCGCCAATACCCGCCAAAAACCTACAGGTTTTGCCCGGGCACGATCATGCTCGTCCCTAAGCCGAATCAGAGGAAGCAAAGGAAGGTTATTGTAGGTTTACTATATAGATTTGACCTTGGGGGTCGTTACTCAGTACCGGGAATTGGGACTTAAGGCTGTATAGTGTAGTGGTTTAGCACTCGGGATTTTGATATCGACCCGGGTTCGAACCGGCTTAGAGTACGTCATTCCCGCAACCCCGGTTCGAACCCGGGTACGGCCTTGCTTTTTCATGCATCTGTTTTCAGTCCAGGAGCCCTACAATTTGTGTAAACTAAACACAAATTGGGCAACACAGGAAACACTATACTTTTCTCCCTGCATGTTGCCCCGAGTTTTGACTCTGGCAAGTTGGAAACTTGCCGGAATATTTCAAAGCCCCCTTGAATGTATGTTCCAAATTTCGGGTGAAAAGGATACTTCCCCGTTGAGGTATGGGCTCTGAAACCTGCCTGTAGGTCCAAAGCCCCAATAAGCGCCAATCTTCAGAGCCATGTGTTTTGGTAACATGTCAGGATGTCATTATAGCTGCTCAATAGCCTGTCTTGGTCTGCTTGGATGCTTATGGGAAGCAATGTTCTGGCCAAACATAATGCCTTGCGGCCTGTATTTTATTTTGGACCCTGGCAAGATATCTGCGTGCCGACCCATCGTCCGGACCTCTGGCTCCCCAGGTATTACAGCAAGCCTGGCAGCAAGTTCCAGATATGACAGGCTCGTATCTCATCAAGGCACCTGCAAACTTGGCTGCCGTCCAAATCGCGTGATTTAGGAGTGCCAACTTGCCACGACAAAAAGTGAATTGGGGCGGAAAGGTTCAAATATATGCAAAGGAGAAACGACAGTGGTCCAAAAGTTGAGAA